CTGGTCGGCCCTGGCCCCTGCCTCCCCCCAGTCTGCTTGCGCAACTGTCAGGAGCAGATCGACTAAGCACCGGCTCATACCCAGACCCCCGTCTTTGCCCCACCTTTCAGCCAAATGTCAAAACCAAGAATGAGTTATCCTGGCGAAGGACCCAACCATATGCAGTTGTGACTACCACGATTGTGAATATCTTCTTCGGTGGCGATCCCTATGGGGACACGAACCGTGCGAGGGGCGTGCCGACATGTGTGGCGGGGTCCACAACACGAACGGAAACCATAGGCTTGAGCACAGGGGACTGAGCGCGGGTGAGACTGAGCGCGAGCGCGTTTGATTGTGATTGCGTCTGCGTGTGGGTAAGTCTACGCGCATGAATTCGAGCATGGATACGCCCAGTGTAAATGCATGAGACTGTGAATGCTGGGCGTGGCGGGGGCCTAACGGGCCACGAAGCGTGTGAGGGGCGTACTGGGTGTGGCGGACGCATGTGGCCACCCCCACTGGGGCGATGGGTGGAGCTCCCTATGGGGCCACGAAACGCTGTACTGGGTGTGGCGGACGCATGTGGCCACCCCCATTGGGGCCTTGGGTGAAGCTCCCGATGGGGCCACGAAACGCTGTACTGGGTGTGGCGGACGCATGTGGCCACCCCCATTGGGGCGTTGGGTGGAGCTCCCTATGAGGCCACGAAACGCTGTACTGGGTGTGGTGGACGCACGTGGCCACCCCCACTGGGGCCTTGGGTGGGGCTCCCTATGGGGCCACGAAACGCTGTACTGGATGTGGCGGACGCGTGTGGCCACCCCCACTGGGGCCTTAGGTGAAGCTCCTTATGGACCACGAAACGCTGTATTGAGATGGCGGACGCATGTGGCCACCCCCACTGGGGCCTTGGGTGGAGCTCCCGATGGGGCCACGAAACGCTGGACTGGGTGTGGCGGACGCATGTGGCCACCCCCACTGGGGCCTTTGGTGGAGCTCCCTATGGGGCCACGAAACGCTGTACTGGGCGTGGCGGACGCATGTGGTCACCCCCATTGGGGCGTTGGGTGGAGTTCAATACGAGGCCACGAAACACTGTACTGGGCGCGGCGGACGCATGCGGACAACCCCCATTGGGGCCTTGGGTGGAGCTCCCTTTGGGGCCACGAAACGCTGTATTGGGTTCGGCGGACGCATGTGGCCACCCCCAGTGGGGCCTTGGGTGGAGCTCCCTATGGACCACGAAACGCTGTATTGGGTGTGGCGGACGCGTGTGGCCACCCCCACTGGGGCCTTGGGTGGAGCTCCCGATGGGGCCACGAAACGCTGGACTGGATGTGGCGGACGCATGTGGCCACCCCCATTGGGGCGTTGGGTGGAGCTCCCTATGGGGCCACGAAGCGCTGTACTGGGTGTTGTGGCCACCCCCGCTGGGGCCTTGGGTGGAGCTCCCTTTGGGGTCTCGAAACGCTGGACTGGGTGTGGCGGACGCATGTGGCCACCCCCACTGGGACGTTCGGTGGAGCTCCCTATGGGGCCACGAAACGCTGTACTGGGTGTGGCGGACGCATGTGGCCAGCCCCGCTGGTGCCTTGGGTGGAGCTCCCTTTGGGGTCACGAAACGCTGTACTGGGTGTGGCGGACGCATGTGGCCACCCCCATTGGGGCCTTAGGTGGAGCTCCCTATGGGGCTACGAGAAACGTTGTACTGGGTCGGTGGAACGCAGGGAGGAGGGGGGAGGGGGAGGAGGGAGGAGGGACGCGGGAGGGAGGAGACGCGGGGACCGTCTCTTCAAAACTAGGACCCAACACCACAGGATGGTTGGGAAAAAACGCTCCCCTTCGGCCCCCCCCCCCTCGAGTCGGACCAGAAGGAGGTAGATGGTCGGGAACTTGTGGATAGCGTGTCGCTCCGCCAGATCTGGACACGCCATCCACTTCCTGGCCCTATTGTCCACCACCACCACCATAAGTTGGAGGGGAAGGGGGTCTTCCTCCTCCTCCTCCTCCTCCTCCTCCTCCTCCTCCTCCGCCTCCTCCTCCTCCTCCTCCTCCTCCTGGTCCCAAGCCGTCAATTTCCCGAGCCTTTTTCCGAGCCTCCCGCCCCACGGAGAGAAGCGACACGCTATCCGCTCGGAGGGCATAGCGTGTCGCCGGAGCCGCCGCCGCGACACACGCCATCCCAAAGTTCCTCACGGTAGGGGAACGAGGAAGATCACGCGAAGGATGTGGAGGGAGGAGGAGGAGGAGGAGGAGGAGGAGGAGGAGGAGGAGGCGGAGGAGGAGGAGGTGGAGGAGGAGGAGGAGGAGGAGGAGGAGGGCAGGTAGGAGGCTGCTGCTGACCCAGATCTCCGGCGATGAAGTATGGTTTCAATCCCGGCGTTGTTCACCGATTCCCGCCTTCAGGGACAGTCTTCGGGCCCCTGGATTCGAGCAGAATCGAGGAAGTGCAGACATGGATTGCAAGGCGCGTGAGGCGCCAGCATCGGCGCGCCTTGTCGCCGAGTGGGGCGGCGCTGCCGGCTCCATGTCGTCAGTGTCTCGTGGAGTGCTTTGCCCGATCTGTGGTTCTGGCGGCCGCGCGCTAGACCGGCAGATCCGACATCCATGTCGGCGTGCGACCAGCAGACGCGGTGGGGAGGTGGAGGAGGAGGAGGAGGAGGAGGAGGAGGAGGAGGAGGAGGAGGAAGTGGAGGAGGTGGAGGAGGTGGAGGAGGAGGAGACGGAGGAGGAGGAGGAGGAGGAGGAGGAGGAGGAGGAGGAGGAGGAGGAGGAGGAGGAGGGGCGGGGGAGCGGGAGAAGGCCATGGAAGTATATCGGGGAGAGGGATCGGGAGAGGGAAGCGGCCGCGGGCGCGGCGGGGGAGGAGGATGGGGTCGGACGACAATGGAAGACATTCCTCGGCGCACAAGCGCCAGAAAAGCCAGCCACGTGAGCCGATTCGTTATTTTCACCCCTCCGGCTCGGTTAGACTCGCTTCCGAAGCGCCTCTGGTTCGGTTCCGTATCGCAGGCCCTCTGGTTCGGTTCGGTTCGGCTCGGCATCGTAAATTGCATTTTCAAGTTTGGCGCGTTGCGGCATGGTTGTTGTTTCTGGAACGGTCCAGTTCCCCCCCTTTGACAATCCCTCCGGTTGACACCCGTTCTGACCCTATGACCCCCCCATTGACGCCCCCCCCCCATAACCCCCCTGACTCCCCTGACCTCCCCCCCGTGCGATTCGACCGCTCGGGTCGGAGTCGGTTGCGCTTCGAGATGCTTCGAGTTCGAGGTGTCGTCCGAGGGATGAGGAGAAGGAGCAGGCGACGGATCGGGAGGAGCAGCCAGAGGAGAGGAGGCCAGAGATGAGGAAAGCGGTTTGGTCCAAATTGGCCTCGAATTGAAGCAGGGTCGGCTCGTTTCGTGTTCAAAGAACGACCACAAGTCGGGCCGCTTGGTCCTGGTTCGGCTCGGTTCCCGTATGGACTAGTTCCCGTATGGACTACCTCGTGTGGGTGTTAAAAGTAATGTGACATGCACCTTCATGTGCTCTTGCAAACCAGCATCGCAGATTCCCTGTTATGTATGTTTACAATCCGGGCGGAACGCAAAAGGGATCCCCCCCAAAAAAACCGGACTCCTGGGATCTGGGACTTTGGGACCCTCTGGACGGGCCTCGAAGCGGCTCCCAGGGCCTCGCAGGGCGTTTTGCCAAGCCTTCCCAGCACACCTAAGGCGATCAGGGGGGTCATCGGAGACGTCCCACAGACCCCCAAGACAGCACAAGAGCGCTCCAAAAGTGACCGACGTGACCTCCAGATGGCCCAAGAGGCCTCCAGGACGGTCCCAAAGAGGCCTCCAAGAGCACCCCCAAGAATCCGTAGCCATTTTGGCTCAAGCCATTGTGGCTCAAGGGAGGCCTCGCTTCCTTCAGGTGAGAAGGCGCAATCATTTGACCTGCTGACAGCAGGCTGGCGCGAATCTGACCAGCATGTCGAAGACTCCCATGACTCTGCCGAGAAGGCATTGCCCACGCTTTGTATCATTATCGTGACCATGGTTGCACTTTCTTGGCCGCTGGTGGTTGCCCTGCGAGGCTGCCAGGGATGGAGCCTGGTCGAGTTGTGGAAGCCACCTGCCGAATCAGAGCAGTCGACGTCATCAGAAAGTACCCTCAAGGAGATTGAAGCGGAGGAGTCTCTTGGGTCCGCAGAGAACAGCGAGGCCGGCGAGGATGCTGAGAGCCGTGCAGTTGGCGTTCTGAGGATGAGTCCTGGACTGAGTCCAACAGTTCACCGGGGTCCCGAGCCCTGGTCCAGGACCCAGACGGTTACCAGTCCATCGGTCACCAGGCGCACAGCGGGACCCTTGGGAAAGCCGACCGCTCTGATCCATATCGGGCCGCCCAAGACGGGGACGTCGTACATCCAGAGGGCCTTGATGGCGTCCCGGGACAAACTCCTCGGAATGAATATCGTGTACTACGTGCCGCCGGTGGAGGGACGTCAAAAGCCAGCGCATCATTTTCTTGCGCAACCAACTCGAGACCAGGCCGCAATGACAGCCTTCGAGGATAAGCTCAGCGAGGCAGTGGCTAAAGGCCAGCACGTGATCGTCAGCTCCGAGGCGCTTTCCCTCGTGAGTCCAAAGTTGATATCGTCGCTGAAATCTTTATTTTCGAAGTTTAACATCAAGGTGGTGCTCACTTACCGGCCGTTCCTCGGTCGGACGTGGTCTGCGTACAAGCAGCACCTCAGAAAACACAACCCCCGCGAAATCGGCGTGTCGTTCGCCGAATATTATGGGAAGGCATCCCGATCAGGGACAGATGGCGCAGGATTGTGTGGGTACGCCGCCAGCAACTATATTCAAGGATTTGGCCGTGACAGCGTTTTCATATTAGATTTCCTGGGGGCGCAGAAAGACGGCGACATTGTGAATATGCTGCTGTCTGCCGTTGATTTACCGACTTTCGATGAGCCGCTCGAACGAGTCCACGTCGTGCCAGGATTGACTTCCGACTAGGCTGTTTATTTCCAAATGTGGCATTTATTCGGGAAATACATTTTTGAGCATCACCACTGCATATTTGAGATGCCGCCGAGGCAAATGCTCGCGTACAAGGTTGATGCGATGGTCAAGCACCACACCATGCCGAAGAAGTGTTTGGACATGGAGCCGATGAGGAAATACGCACTCAAAATGGATGCCAATTTCCGAGCTGCGTTTGGAGACCGCATGTTGCACTTCCGCCCAGATTTGTCAGATAATGAGACTACACATTTCGAGATCTGCGAGCTAGACCACCAGATTGTCAGGATGGACTGGAATGATTTGTTCGAGAAGCATGCCGAAGCTCTTTTGAGCAACTCATGCCAGAAGCAGGAGAAGCGGTGACCAGATCGAGTTGCACCTCAGGAGCGTCTGGTCGAGCGCAGCTGGAGGAGCCCCCGAAAAATCGGAATGAGAATTCATATATTAAGTCTCAGTTTCATTGTTGGCGTTCGAATGCTCAGAAAGGGGATCGGTCGGCAATGGGAATGGGATGCAGCTGTCAAAGAGTACTGTAAACAGTCAGTGTGACTGCGATGAGTTCCCTCGCTCTGCCCTTTCGCCTCCCTCCTCCCTGCCCCCTCCCCGCCCCCCCCCCCACCCTCTTCAGACGGAGTGTTGCTGCTTACCCTCCCGCGCCATTTGCGCAAAGCTTGCAAGTGGTTGCCGGCCGAGGCTCAGTGACATTTTCCACGTATGCATGTGCACATTTCCTGCGGATGCGCCGTCTGGGCGCGGCTCTTTGTTGTTGTTGTCAGCATGTGTGCCGTTCGCGCCAAGGCGCGTTAGGTCGGAGGCCGACAAAACAATATCCCGGCAGAGCAACCTAACAGCGATGTGTAGGAGCATATTTGGAAGCATTCCCCTTAAAGATTCAGATGCGAATCCAGTTGTAGAATTCTGCTGTTCTCGCAGTCGTAGTCGCATTCGCGATGACAGTCGCAATGGCAACGGCAGTCGCAGTCACAGCCTAAGCCTCAGCCTGCCTCAGCCTCAGCCTCAGCCTGCCTCAGCCTCAGCCTGCCTCAGCCTCAGCCTCAGCCTGCTTCAGCCTCAGCCTCAGTCTGCCTTCAGCCTCGGCCTCAGCCTCAGCCTGGCTCAGCCTCAGCCTGCATCAGCCTCAGCCTCAGCCTCAGCCTGCCTCAGCATCAGCCTGCCTCAGCCTCAGCCT